AGGCATAAATGGCACTTACAACATTCTTTTAATTAAAAAAAAGACACTGTGTGGTACAAACTGTGCCTGTACTTCACTCTCCAGACTTTGTATGTTCAAAACTCTATAAATGTTCTCAACTGGAATAAGAAGAAGGCAAGTTGAAACTTTGCTTGAAAATTAATTTGTTTGCTTGTGGAGTCTATGTACTTTCAACAACATTTTCCTTACAAATGTTATAGATAATTATTCCAAATATAAGAGTTAACATGTAAAAGAAAACATTAAAGACAGCAGGGTAATTTTTACCTCCAACCATCAGTTCTCCTTCACCCTTGCAAGATTCACACCTGTGCACTGCAGGCATTGCTTGTAATTTAATTCTTAATGGGAAATTGTCCTTTGTATAAGTTTTAGTAGTGCCAACAGCAAGCTGGAGGGGTTCCCTTGTTTTTTGAAAGAGTGTGTCCCTGTTTCCCATGTAACTGGATGTGAATTCTTTCTGGGGTGAGCATTTTGTTCTTTGCTTGTGGCAACAGAGTCCTGGAACTCCTGGATGCTTTTATAGCACACAAAAAATTATTCCTATTTAGACACATTGTTAAGTCTCCTGAGAATATTTGCCATATTTCTCAAGCAACTCATTCCAGCTCCTTTCCTTCTTTATATTTTTATTTCTTTGGTTTTCCTGATAACCAGTTAGAGATGTTACTGTGACACTGTCAGATTTCCCCCCTCCCCTTTTTTTTTCCTTTTCCTTTTTTATTTTTATTTTTTCTTTTTCTTTTCATTCTGACTTGTAAGATCACATCTTGCTTCCTCTGTGGAAGCTTCCAACATACAGAATGCTTCTGCTACACTTCCATGGCTATTTCAAATATCCCAAGCCCTTCTACAAAAGAAGGCAATAATGTCCTGAACACACTATAATGCTTCCATTGTACATTAGACTATTTCTTGTATTTTCTTAATAAAAATATAAAAATAAAAAAGAGAGGCAGAGGGAAGGGACAGGAGCAAGGATGGAGAAATTATTTTGTTAAGGAAGCTCAACAAAACCTCAAGAGCTTTCTAGAATGAATCCTTTTAAACCCAGCCTTTTCTGTCCTTGATGCAGGATGCATCTTCCCTTTAATAATTCCTCCCAAGGGGTGATTTGGAATTACATCATCTGTGCCATGGAGCTCTATAGCAAGCAAGAAATTCTTTATCAAGAAATTGAGCTTTCCTTTGATTAGGAAGCAAGTCTGTAGCCATTAGTCTAACACATCAAGTCTTACAAAGACTCAACAAAACAGGCCCACAAAACTCTCAACTTTCTGTACAGTGTCTTGTTTTGACAGCTGCATAAACTTAGAAAGCATTGGGGATGTGGGATGTAATTTTTTTAAATTTAATTTTAAATGTTCACTGCAGAAGAAAGTTGGACCTGTGAGAATAAATAATTTCCTGCCCTCTGCACAGCAGTTCCCACCCCATCATGGCGTATTAAGCACACATTACCAATAAAGACTGCTTAAGTCATACACAAAAACGTTGGAAAATGCTCAAGACTGAAGTAAAATTTTCTAAATCACAAACTGTTAACACTCATGTTCTCTGCTACAAGTTGAATGCCTGCTAAATGGGTGCTTTATTGCCCCAGCTTTCATCACCAGCTCCTGCACTAATCCTTCTGTTTAATGATCCTGATTTAAAAATCGTTGCGCCTAACAACTCCTGATATTTTACTTTCAGCATTTTGGCATTCAGAACTGCTTAAATGAAACAGTTCAATCTTCTAAGTGACAATAATAGTTTCTCATTATACCAACCTGCAGGATTGCCATTCTGCTACATTTTGATGTATTATGGCCCTGCTTGTCTATGATCATTAGTATTGTATTAAAAATATACTTAATCTTTGTCATAAAGCTCATCAAATATTGACTTTTTTGTTTGGAAATAGAACTTTCTTCCTGGGAATTACTCTTCCTCTTCCCATGCTGGACATGGGCTAGAGTTTAGCTTCAATCTAAGGATCTGATTGGATCATGGTGCTAAACAAGTGTGTATAAAAATGCATTAAAACTGCCAGTTGTTAGACTAATTCATTGATATTGCTCATTAATGTCTGTATTATTAGACAAAAAGTAATTAAAGCAGAAAAGACTTGGGTAAAGTGGTGGTCTTGAAGCCTGTCAAAGCATCTACACTTTCCTGTCGTCATGATTTTATAATGAAAAGGGGAGGAGAGGAACAATTCAAAACAATTTTCTATTCATTCACCAGGAAAGGAGACAGCATTCTGTTTTCTGTGTCATTGCAGCATCTGTTTGTCTGTCCAGCAGTTCAGCTGAATTTGACAAATGGGCAATGGTCTCACAGAAAATAAACTACCATGAATGCTGTGAAAACATGGAGCTACACTGTTCCCAACAGATACAGTTCCATTTGTTCTTTTCTACCTCTTGCTGATTAATAGGTAGGGAACAGAAATGAATGAGAGTGTTAAGAAACAGTTGTGTGTGATGGAGATGAAAATAAAGAGGAGAATTCAGAAGATGAAAATTAACAGGGGGATGGAAGAAGAAGGGAGAAAGAATCAACAGCTTTGACTTTTTCTTTTAATTGGTGATATTTCAATCACAGAATTATTAGGTTGGAAGAGACTTCAAGATCATCAAGTCTATCAAACCATGGTGGGGAAATTTTCCAAGCACAGGCACAGGATAAATGACAACAGAAGTACAGAATGTCTTTAATACAAAATCTTCCTTTTTGTAGAAAAAACAAAAAGAGTGCTCAGCCCTTGGTAGGGGCTGCCCAGGGAGCTTTGGAGTGCCCATCCCTGCAGGTGTCCCAGGAATCCCAGGAAGGGCTGGAGGTGGCACTCAGGGCTCTGGGCTGGGGACAAGGTGGGCATCGGGCACAGCTGGGACTCCATGGCCTGGCAGGGATTTCCCAACCCCAGTGATCCTGGGATTCTGTGATAGCAGAGACTTCAGTGACTGTGTGAAACTGATAAGGCCTTGGGAATTCCATGGACTGAATTCCATGAACTGAATTCCATGGACTGAATTCCGTGCCCAGCTGCTGTAGAAGTGGAAAGGGCTCTCTAGGTGTGCATCTTATGGGTTTCTGTAACACATCCAACCCGTTGGCCTCTGCACTGAGGCTGTCCCAGACCCTTGTGGTCTATCCCAATTCTCATGGATCTCATTTATTTGCTTAAAAGGATCTTGGAAACGCTTTTGTGTTGGCAGTTAAGCTCTAGAAGAGCCTCAAAGTGAGGAATATCATTAAATCCTTCTAGCTACAAGTTTCTGGAGAGCTCTGCTCCCACTCCCTGTAACTCAGTGTAGCCAAGACTCCATTTAGAAGTTTCACAGACCTGGTGTGTGCCTCCAATTGGTCAGTAGCTTTTTTGCCAATTATTGTACTGGTTAGAGAAAGGTATTTTACTTGTCTATCAAATCTCTTTATTCTTAAATTGTTTGTATATTTTCTTCCCTGATTCTCATGGGATAGATCTAATGTTTTATGCAGGTGTGGTTGTTTTTCACCCAGGAATAGACTGTTATGTTAACAAACCATTCATACCAGGATTGTTTTCACATGGGAACTTGCAAAATGCTAGCTGGACTCAGAAGAAATTATAGGCCAGCCATGGATCTAACAGAGCAGGACTGATTTTATGAGGCCTTTCTTTAATAATTTTTCTACTTGATTGCAACACAGTGAATCAAAATGTTAGGAAAACTAATCCACAAACACCAGAGGTTTATGTCCAAAAAGGAGACAGAGGCATTATTTGGCTTTATTTGAATAAAGGGAGAGGCCATGGGGCATTCCCCTGGAATCTCTCCAATTTTTGGAGGACACAGCCTCCTTTATATCCCAATTTCCAGCCACATTTCCCTTCTCTCTTTCCCCCTTGGCTGAGGTACTTGAGAGCTTCAGTCTTCCCAGAACACTTAATCCCAAAGATTTTCCTCTAAGGTATAACCCTCCCTTTAAATTTTTAATTCTTATGGAATTTAGGGGGTATTCTTCCCCATTGTTTCTTTTATCTTTCAATGTCCAATTTCATTTATCAGCAAACCTAAAGTTGTAAAAGCAAGTATCTTTTTCCATTCATCAATCAGTGGAATCCTTCCCATTGTTTCTTTTATCTCCCAGTGCTGGTTTTATCTACCAGCAGACCCACAGCTTGTTTGTAAAGACAAATCTGCCATTCCTCTCAAAATCAGTTACCATGATAGCACAATCTGGCCAGTGTGTGATCACAGCTAGAATCCCCATTGCTTGGCACAGCTGGCACGTGTGCAGTTAGTTGGGAGCCAGAGAGCTGCAAAAAGGGGTGCTGGTGGGGATGCTCCTCTTGTTAAACTCAGCAGCAAAGTGGCACAAGTTAGAGCAGTGATTTTCACTTTAGAACACCTTTGCCTTTGGGAGTGCACCTCACAGAGGCTGCTCTTCTGGAGTTTGAAATCCCATTTTGGATGGGGAAGCATCCAGAAGGCAGAGGAAGAGCATCAGGGGAGCCCTGCAGGGTTCCCTTGCATCTGGCCAGGAGCAAGGGCTGAAAGGCTCCTGCCACCCTCCCCTGTGCCACCTGAGCTCCTTGCATGCCCCAGCAGCTTCCTGGTGCCTCTGGCTGCAGATCCAGCTAAGATCCAGTCATGTCCAGAGATAAAATCCTGAAGCAGCTCCACAGGTGCTTTGTTGCTTTGTCCCTGTGAGTTCTGCAGTTCCAGTCTGTAAACCTGCAGGTTTCTAGCCAAAGCTGCTCATGTTATATTAGACCTGCTTATATTTTATACTGCACTGACAATATGTAAATACTGTATTGGCAATAAGTTCAGTCATAATGACCCACACGATCAGTGCCACACATCTCACACCTGACCAAGAGTGCTCTCTCTGAGCCTGCCGCAATCCCCAGGGTTATTGGGCCAAAGTACCCCAAGGTAACGTGGCTGCTCTCAGACTGTCATCCATGACCATCCTAAGGGTGTCACTGCCTTCATGACAGGGGTTTAGAGCATTAGCTCTCCAATTCCAGTGGCAAGGGACAGGTGGGACTTCAAGTAGTGGTTAAGGGTGGCTATAAAAGCTCCAGGTGCTTCCCAGAGGTGGAAAGGATCCAGTTCTCTGTCCTGAAGAGCTTTACTGGGAGAAGAGGAAGACAGTGCAGGATCTCATGGAGTTTGCACCATGCCTGGGCAGGGCTCAGCTTTCACAGATTTCTTCCCTAAGAGATTCCTTTCCCTCCTTTATTGGTAAACAAGATGTGCCAATGCCAATCCTCGAGGTTCTTATGGCTCTGTAGGTTCTTCAAAGAGCTTCCCAGTTTCCCTTGGTCTTCTCAAGGTTTGTCTTCTGAAGAATATTTGGATGATTTGGTTTCTTTATCCTCAGCTGAAATCTCGAGGTTGGCAGTATCACTGGAGAAGAAACCACATCATTCCCACCATACAGGTATAGAACTTGCCTTTTAAAAAAAAAAAATAATATTTTTTCCCCTTAACCTCTGTATTCCAGAACAGGAGAGAAATGTTTTGTGGAATCATACACCAATAAAAAAAGTAAATGAGGGCTATCATGAATAAGGCCATTTGGAGATCACAAAGTTCACCAGTTCAGTTGCCCTTCTTGCCATTTACACAGCAAATGAAGAAGAGTTTGCTGGTGCTTGGCCCTTCACTGACTCTGAATATTCTGCTCACTTTCTAGGTAGAAACCCTTGAATACACATATTTCTCTCAGTCACAAAAGAGAACACACCACAAGCTCTCCAAATTCAGCAAGTGGCCCAGAAATGTTGCAATCTGATTGTGGCAGTACCTATCTGAGAGCTCCAAGTATGGAGGATGGGCTGGCCACAAGCAAAGGCAGCTCTGGGAGGGAGCACAGCTGCTACTCCTCCAACTTCCCAAGTGGGAATAACCCTCCCACCTGTTCCACCAGATCCAGTGTGCTGCTGGGGGAGCCCTCAGCTGAAGGGGCCTGGGGAGATGTTGGACACTAGCCTGTTGTTCAGGTGTGACAATCAGTGACCCATCAGTGACTCCATCAGTGACTCCATCACCACAGATGGTCACAGATGATTCATCCTTTTCCTTTTCTTCTTCCTCTGGGTTTTTTTCTTCCTCTTGCAGTATCTCCTCCTCTTCTGAAGGAAAGAATTATCCATAAATAGAAGGCAAGGCACATTGCCAATCCCATTGAAGCTGAGAAGTCCCACTTCCCCAACACTGGCCTGTCCCAGAAACAATGGATGCTGCTGCTCCTCTCTGAATCCTCATGTTCATTCTCACTCACAGGGCATCATCTCATCCCCTGCAATGCCACGCACATCCAACCCTGCCAAAAGCCCTTCCAGCCTCTCTCACAGCTTTCCCAAGCTTTTCTGCCTGGCCATCATCTTTCCAGGCCTACAGCAATGTGCTGGCAAGATCCTGGGAAAAGGATCCTGGGAAAAAGCCTAAATGGACTCAACTGCTCAAAACTCAGGAGGCAACCAGAGAGGCCAAAGTGTTGGTCTGGCAGCCCTGCAACTTCCAGGCTTGTGGAGATGGGTGTGAGCTGCCTGATGTGTGATGGCAGGGGGAAACCAGGGGATCTTCCTGGGAGCCAGCAGACAGTGCTCACCTTTCAGCTTCCTGGGCCGGTACTTGGTAACCCCAGGGAAGGTCCCCTTTCCCTTCAGGGTGATTTCTGCCGGTTCCAGATGAGCCACTTTGACCTGGAAAGTCTTGTGGAAGGCCCCCAGCTTTCCTGGCAGATAATAGACCTTCAACACTTGCTTCTGGCCAGGTGCAAGGGAACCCTGCAGGGACAGGAGAGGAGGAAGGGACTGCATCAGAGCTTTGCTGTGGGATGGCTCAGGGGACAGACAGGCTGAGGGGACAGGTTCTCATCCAGAAGTAACCATCAGACCACATCACTTTCTACCTTCCTTGTGCCCAAAAACTGGCACCTCCACCCCTGGGGTGCAGTGTGTGCTCCTGAGCTCTCGCAGGGCTGCAGCCCCAGCACAGCTTGGGGTTTCCCCCCACTTTTTTCCCTCTTTTCCCCACTTTTTTCCTTTAATTCTCTCCTGGGCTGCCTGACAGAGGGCCAGAGGCAATGACTTGTGCTACTCACTGTGGTGGGCACGACCACGGGCACTCCAGGCAGAGGCTTTGCTGCAGTGCCAGTGCTGCAGTTTGGCACCACGAAGGTGAATTCCATGACGCCGGTGTTCCGCAGGGTCACCTGTGCTTTGAGGGCTTTGTTAAACCTCTGCAGAGAGGACAGAGCAGGGAGAAGTTACAGACACAGGCCTGATGCTGGCAACCTCCTGCCTCTTTCATGGCACTGGAAGCACACAGCCACAGTGCAACACACAGCTACAGAGAGGTGGCAAAGCCTTGGAAAGGCCAGCAATAAATGAACCAGGGGACCAGGTCCTCTGCACTCTGAGGGGCCACCAACAGCCAGGAGAAACAGAGGAGGTGGCACTGAGATGTGTGAGATGAAGCCAAAAGCTTATGGAGCTAAAGAATGGAAGTTGTTGGTTCTGCATGTTGCTGTTTGCAGTTTGGATTTGTTCAGGTTGGTTTGCTGGGTGTTGCTGTGAGCTGGCAGAGGGACAGGGTTGAAGACATGACCAAAAGGAAGGAGGATGAGAGGGGAGGGGACAGAAAAGTTGGTGGTCAGAGAGAATGGAAGTTCCTGAGTGCCCCTCCAAGGGGAAAGGGGCCAGGGACTGTCCCAGCTAGGTACAGAGGGGATACAAAGATTGCCTTTTTGTTGGAGGGTGTGTTTGCTCCTCTCCGGGGACAGGGAGACACACACCCAGCTCGGCTGAATTGTTGCTAATGAACAGTTTTGTTTTGCTTTGACAACTTTGTCCCCATTGAATTGTATCTAAAAGTCAGTGCATTTCTGAGAGGCATTCCAGAAGAAAAGGCAGCTGCATGCAAATATTGGCAAGAAACAGACAGGTGACAAGAGAGACACACAGGACAACACAGGCAGTGCCAGCAACTGGAAGTATCTGTGGACTTTAAAGTGAAAAGAAGTAAAGTGGGGATTATTGTGGGACATTGTTTTCAGGTACTGAAGTGACTGAAAGCCCAAGTTCCTCCCTGGACGATTTTGTGGATCAAGCAAGAGCATTTGACAAGAGCATCTCCTTGGAGCTCAAGCTTTAGGAGCAGATCAGTGGGGGGGTATCGCAGGGACAGGTCCCTCTGGACATCTTCCCTGGGAGCCTTGTGCTCCCCAGGAGGCAGGGTCAGGTGCCTTGGAGAGGACAGTGTCCTGTCCCTCAGCCAGGGCAAGGGAGGGAGGGGTGGGGATGGCCATTTCAAACCAGCTGGGATGCTGGACTGTCTCTCACAGGTTGTGTTCCCAGCCCCAGAGCCAGCAGAGGAGCCGAGAGGGGGACAGAGCCTGGGATGGAGGTGGCCACGACGCCAGCCAAGGCAGGAGCAGCCTGTGGTACCTGCAGCCCCCAGTCAATCTCCTGCAGGTCCAGCTGGTAGCTGGGGCACGAGGCCTCCCCGGTCAGCACCACCTCGTAGCTGGGGCCTCCCTGCACGTGGCACAGCGCCCGGACACACGCCACCACGTTGGCGTGCCCAAAGAAGGTGAAGGTGACCTGCTCGCTCTCTCCTGGCTGCAGCTCACCCCACAGCGGCCGCACATCAAAAACCTGCAGGGAGGGGAGATGGAGATGGTGAGAGTGGAAATGGATGCAGAAGAGCAGCTGTGTCCTGAAATAAAGCAGAGTCACAGCTGGAGGGGCCTATTCCCCAAACACAGCCAGAATCACCCTAATCTCATACTGTGTCCATGCCACTGACCAGTGGAGGGACCATGGGGAAAATCTTCTCCCATAATCATTTATCCATGAGTATAGACTACATTAAAGTCAACCAGAATGTCTCCTGGCAGCAAGAAATTCTCTCTGCTGCAGAACTTGTCTTTGGAAACACTTCTCACTGTCTTCAGAAAACCAGGAGACTTGGAGGTGGGAGCCCTTGGAGCTGGGGGAAGGCTCATCTGACTTCTGAGGCCTTTCTCCCTCTCTCTGACTTTATGTGCTGTTCTCTCAGGCTGCTACAGCCAAAGTTCCTACAAAAATGTCCTGAAAACCACCTGATGAGGTAAATGGGAGCAATGCCCTCCACAGGGGCTGCACAGGGAGCATCATGGGGCAGCCCTACAAAACATCCCACATGGCCTCTCCAGCAACCACTGGCTTCAGCAGAGCTTTGTGATGGACTGGGAGGGATGTGAGGCCCCTCTGTGAGCAGTGCTGAGGGCCACCAGTGGCACTGGGGCTACAGAACCACCTCCCACACTGGAAACATGGATGTGAGACAAATTGCCACTTACCTCCTGCATTCCCAGCTTGGGGTGCTCCATCTCTGAGAACCAGCTCAGTCCCCTCATCCTCACTGGCCTCTGAGACGCCCCAGGAGTGGGTGACAGCCCCTGGAAAAAGCACCACAGGCTGCAGTGAGCTGGCTGCTCTGAGCAAGATCACTCTGCTGCAGGCTCCAGCACCTCCCACACCAGGAGCAGCTGGAAAGGGACCTGGGCACAAACCAAGGGTGACAATGTCCAGGCCATCAGTCGAGTGTGGGTCCAAGGCCAGCCACAGATCAGACCTGGGCTCCATCTGCACTTGGTACATCAAACTTGCCTGAAGGAACTGGGCACTCCCAGGCACCCCCAGCACTCAGGCAGGGAGGGCTGGAACTGCATAATCTCTGAAAGTCCCTTCCAATCAAACCATTCCAGGATTCCAGGATGGCCACTTGAATTTCCCTGGTTTGCTTGTGCATACATGGCGACAACCAGGAAATAGAGATAATTTTTGCTTCTATTTGAAAACATTCAGCCACACTGTTCATATAGGGCTTTGTTTCTCCTGATTCAGAAAAACTGTGCAGTGTAGAAACAACTGGTATTTGTGTGTGAGCAGGTACAACCCTTCTCCATAAACTTAATGCCAACACTGGGCTTTTGAGAAACTCTTCTGCTTCCTTACATCTTTTTTTTTTTTTTTAACTGCATAATAATGAGTGACTTTTTGTTGCTCCATAATAAGTGACTTTGCAAACTCTTGCTCTGGAGCTGTCACTGCAATACCAGCTTTTGGGTGAAGGCACAGATGTGAGTGCCCTAGCTGGGTTTGGAAGGGGCTACGTGGAGATCAGGACTCTTCATGGACTGACATACATGGGAAGCTGGAAGCCCTCTCATCATGATGCAGATAAAGACCTCATTTTACATTGTAAAGAAAATAAACCAAAAATCCCAAACTCAGCATAGGTCTGTAGGATCTGAGTGAGCTTCTCTGAGCAAAATTTTCCTATTTCTACCTCCCCAGACACCCCATGTCCAACTGCTACTTTCAGGGCACAGGACAGAAGGGCAGCAAAAAGGGAGGTTGGCATGAGTATGACTTTTTGGTGGCAAGTTTAGAGGAGGCAAAGCAAGTGGTAGGTGCACAAGAAAATCCACCTCTCTTTCCAGGGAATGCTCTGCATCTTCTGGCTCCTGGCCAGAGTCCTCCTGAGCAGAATCCTCCTGATCAGAGTCCTCTTGAGCAGGACCCTCCTGGACAGGATCCTCCAGGGCAGCATCCTCCTGGGCAGGACCTTCCTGAGCAGAATCCTGCTCATCAGAATTCTCCAGGGCAGAATCCTCCAGGACAGAATCCTCCAGGGCAGAATCTTCCTGAGCAGAATCCTCCTGGGCAGAATCCTGCGTTGTTTCTGGGGTTTTGGTCAGCTCCTCCACACTTTCAGTCATGGAGTATCTCCGTACAAACACTCTCCTCTTCTTTGAAAACCGTGGCTTGAATTTAGGTGGTGAAGGGATGAACCTGGAAAATAACATAACTGTGATGGTGGGCCTGTAGTGGGGGAGAGAGGTGCCTGCAAGAGCAGCTCCTCACTGCGCTGCAGCCCCTGGCTGGGTGCTGGTGTGCTGAGCTCAGTGACAGCCACTCAGAGCCAGGCTGGAGCAGCTCCATGCTGGGAGCAGCACGGGGGTGATGATGCTCATACCTGATGGTGTTCACCTGGCTGTCTGTCAGGAATGACCAGTGGTAGTTGACAGGGAGTGGGCTGCAGTTGGTCATCTCCATATTCAACTCTTGTTCAGTGTCATTTATGATGCAGCCAAAGTCCACGGCCTTGGTGGGGAGGTGGAGATTTGGGAAGTAGACTTCCCCCCGAACAGGGATCTTCTCCACATGAGGATGCTCCATGAAGCTCACCCTGAGAACCTTCTTTATCACCCAGCTGATCAGATTGTTCTTATAAGCTGGGTTAAAGCAGATGCAGAGATGAAGTTCCTTCCCTACACCCACTCTCACAGGCTGCAAGGAGATGAGCAGTAATTAATCACCTGTGGGATGATGTCCCAAGGCCTGACAGCAGCAAACAGTAAATGCTCCAAGTGAGCCCAGCATGGGCTCCTCAGTTCATGGTTCATCTCTCTACAGCAGGGGTCTGACTGCAGGCACCACAGTCCAGTCCAGGATCCCTCAGGCTCCCGTTGCTGTGCTCAGCCCCAGTCCAAGGGGGTGGCTGCTGGAGAGCTGGCATGCTTTCCAGGAGACACCTTTACTGCATGGCTTGCCTCAATCTGCTTTCCTGCTCCCCTCTCCTCATGTTTTAGAGCCAGCATGCATGTTACCAATTCAGGTAAGATTTTGATTCCTTCAGCAGCTCTGCTGATTCAGTTCAGGCCAATCCACTGCTGACACTACAGAATGAGCTTCTCAACTTGAGGAGCTCCCAGCAGAAGTGCAGCACCACATCCCTCCTCCTCAAACCCCACTGCACAAGCCCACAGAGGCTCACGTTGCAATTTGCAGGGAGGGGCTTCCGGTTCACATTGCAGACCAGGAAGGGCTGCTCCAAGTCCAGCACCACGCTGAATGGCAGGGAGCTGGTGTTTTTTAATGTCAGCGGCTGGTACTGCAGTTTCAGGACATCACTGGGTTTCTACAGAAACAGGAGACAAGGGAAAACAACCTCAAGTGCCATAGACCTCCTTCCCTTTCCAATGCATTTCACATTTTTCAGCCCCAAAAGTGCATATATTTCTATTTACTTCCAGCCAATTTAAGAGTTACACCTTTTAATGCCAGGATGCAATGGGGTGACTTTACCTTTTCCACACGGAAAGCGATGGCTCTGGGGGACATTTGCACTGCAGGGCAGATGAAGTTGCAGATGACATCTGTTTGCAGGATCTGTTTCTTTGCTGTCTCTTTCCCCACCACAGCGTGGCACAGCAGCCGCTCCTTCACCTCCTGCACACAAAATTCCCTTGTGTCCCAGTGTGTGATGGCAGGCCCTACACCCCACACTGCCTTGCCACCCACCCATGGGCCCCATTCCTGCCACTTGTTATTAGGGACTGAAATTAGTCTCTGCTCTCCTCAACAGCTCTCTTTTCTTTCTGTGCTGCCATCTACTTATTCTAAATATCTCTGCCCAGGGGTCCTGGAGCCAGGGAATGCATACCAGACTTAGCTGGCAGCTTCTCTGCAGAGTTTCATTTCCCCTGGAAAGAACAGTCCAGGTAGGAGAACACTCCCAGACTCTGCTAAAATCTCCCCCTCTGAGTTGCTCTCCAGGGGTGCTTCAGGTCCCTGGGACACCAGGGCTGGCTGAGAGACTGGGGCAAGCAGTGATAGAAAAGTTGACCAAAGTCAAATTGTCAATTCTGATGATCCCTGTGAACAGTTTCCTGCCTGGATGGACATTGCACTGATCATTAGAGCTGGCACACTGTGTTTTCCCCCTCCAGGACTCATAGCTAGAGCAGCCCTGTGCACGTGTTTGTCTTCAGAGGAAAAGCAATGCTGCTCCCAAACACTCCTGCCATTCCCAGGGCTTTTATTTTACTTCCTGGGTAAAGGGCTTTTCCCTCAGAAAAAGCACTTGACAGTAGTTTAATTTGCTTCCTGCCTGGGCTTCTAGCCTAAGTGCAACTTCTTTTCTCTGCTCTCCCTTTCTGCCTCAGCACATGACACAGGTAAGCCCTGTTTGCCCAAAGGAGCAGTACTTCCTTCAGTCTGTATTTTGGGACCAGCAAGTTGGGTTTATGGTAGCTAGGGAAACACAAAAGAGCCTTTACAACTGATGGTGGCCAGCAAGGAAAGCAACTGGCCTTGAAACAGTTTCTTGAAGTCACTTGCTCCTTGTGCCAGGCCAGTGTCAAGGGGCTGCAGAAGAAGCTGCAGTGGAGGGGATCTGATGGGAAGGCTCAGCCCTGGGCAGGGCCTCACCTGGACAGTGCTGGAGCAGCCTTCCAGCACCATGTCCACAGTCTGGCCCGGCCTCAGGTCCACCTGCACTGGGCACAGCTTGAACACGGGGCTGCCAGGCCTGGGCATGGGGGGAGCCCCTTTGCCCTGGGTGCCCGCGGGGGCCGGGGCCCGAGCGCTGCGGCGGAAGGTGCGGAACCCTTCCGTGCTCCAGTAGAGCCGCTGCGTGCGGCGGCCTCTGTTCGTCAGCTGGAAGTGGTAAAAGCAGTGACTAAAGCTGCAAGAGAAGAGAGATGGAAAATGTCACGGGAGCTGCTATTTCCCTGGCATCACTCAGCTTCAGCTTCACCCTGATGGCATTCCCTGACTGCGCACTCTGCAATAAAACCTCTGCCCAAAAGGCTGCCCAGGCTCAAAGCTTCAGCCCTGCCAGATCTTTCAGCTTTTCCATTTCTGTGGCTTTCCAGGATATCTGGATATTTGACATATTTCTAAATGAATTCCTGTGGCTTCATGGAAACAGAACTGGGATCTTGAGTACTGAAGATCTAGCCTGAAGGGCTATGGAAAAATTGTTCCTTGCTGAACACACAGGAGATGTGGAAGTTTCTAGAGTCTCCTACCTGAAGCAGGACTTCAAGTCGAGCTTTGGAACGAGAGGTTTGTCCGTGACAACTGTGGTGCCAATGCCCACAGCCTGGAGAGAGATGATGGTCACAGGGTTGTTCTCAATTAACACCTTCACCTTCTCCTGGAATTTCACTGTGTCATTCAGGTTAGCTACGATAGCCACGGACACCTCAGAACGTGGGGGGACCACTCCTTTGCTGGGCTCAATCCTCCAGCAGGAACGTTCCACAGCCTGCAGGAAAAGCCAAACACAAAGTTAGATGGAAGCCATGGACCTCGCTCTGCTGTGAGGTGCAGAAAACGGGAAGGCTAAAGAGATGAGTATAAAAACCATAAACGTTTAATTTCCCTAAATGTAAGCTATGGTGTCCAGCACAGCAACTCCCCAAGAGCTTATACAACCTGTATTTTACCTTCCTTTAACATACTCAGGTCATTAGCCCTGTTTTGCTCAACCCAAGGGAAGCTCCTCCTCAGGAGAAGGTAATTCCCCCTGCTGGCTCTCTTTGGAATGCTTGCCAAGGAAAGCTGTTTACTCCCTGCTGGCTTCCTGGCAGCAGAGCTGGGTGTGCACAAAGGCTCATGGCTGGAGGAAGGCAGGACTGCTCAAATCCCAGCCCAGCAGCCACACAGCTGGAGGACACTGCTGAGCGCCTGCAGAATCACTCTGCAAAGCCAGCTGAGCAAAATCCCAAATCTCCTTTCCCAAGGGGCCATCAGTGCTTCTCAACACCCCTAAAGGACTGAAGCCCTCACTCCCCACCAATCATCAGCTGTAGAGAGGTGCCCCAGGGCCCTCTGCTTTGGAAAAGTCACCTCTAAGTGCTTCTAGCAGAGCAGGAAAGCAGGAAGCAGAAAGAAAACTGGATGCATGTGCTCTGTGGGCATGGCCCACTCTTCCCAAGAACTCTTGTCATCTGCTTTCTCATGGACTTCATGGACTGAGCAAGGGAGCTGGAAGGTGCCCAAAGGAGGGGGAAAGGCCTTGCACCAGCACAGCTGTACAGACACAGCTCTGCAGGTCTGGCCCTGGCAGGAGCATGTGAAACCCAACCTTTACACACCATGAGCACCCAGCCAAGGTGCACTGCTCCCTGCAGAGGCTGAACAGGAAAAGCTGCCCTGCCAGTCCTCCACTTTGGGATAACATTTATCCCCCAAACAACTGGAAAAGCAGCAAGAGGAAAATTCACGCACCTCCTCCTTGGCCCAGGAGGCTGAGCCTGGACTCTCACACAATACCTGATGATTTATCCACAAATACAAACAAGTCCACTTGATCAGGGTTGGCTTTAACCAGCTCCAGAAGTTGAACCCACCCAATATACAGAAGATCAAATCTCTTTCCAAAGCTTTTTTCAAGCTGTAGCTCCAGCCCTGCAGCTTGTCCCCCTCTGTAACCTCCTCTGCAGGTGATCTCCAGAGCCATTCTGCAGTGCTACAGAGACCACAGGCTCTGGGGGTGCACAGCCCTCACAGGTGCATTTATTTGCAACAGCACTACTCACAGGAGTTGTGAAACTTGACTTCCCATGAGCAGTTTGAGGGCAGATCTCACACCCTGCTTTGTGCCATTAACACAAGTCTGGCACAAACAAATGCAGATGGAATGGGGAGTCCATGGGGAAATCCATGCCCTCTTAGGAGCAAAGGGCCACAGGCTTCTCTTGTTCTCAGAGCTCCAAAAACATGACTTGCACAGCTCAGTATCTTCCATAAAATAAAGAGAGAACTTGCAAACATGATCCAGACTCATTTCTGCTCCAATCTCTCTGCAAACTATTTCACAGAGGCGTGCCTGAGATCCTGGCTCCTCTTGCTTGCACTTGGATGGAATATCTTTCTTCCACTCACACAGAATACAGAAATGTTGCATACAAAAACAAGTCAAGGGCTGCTAGTAACCAGCACCTGTCCCTGGAAAATAGCCCCACAGACACTTACCATCTCCACCTGGAAGGTTGCAGGAATCTCACACTGATTGGCGAGGTGGAGAGTTTTGGAACAATCCTCTAGGACTGGGACAGAGCCGAAGTTTATCTCCCTGGGATGGACATAGACAACGGGGCCCTGGCCAACGCACTCTAAACGGATTTCCTGTTCCAGGAAGAAGGTAGGAAAGGTCAAAAAAAAGACGCAACAAAGGCAGTTTTAAAAACACAGCCAGCTCCAAGAGCATTCCTAGACTGGGGACAGTGATGGCCTTTGGAAGTTGTCAGTGGTGCAGACTGAAACAGAAGGCCTGGAGCAAGTGTGGGGTCTGCAGAGATCCCACCTGAAAGCCACAAGCTCCCATCATCAGAGGACAAAGCACTGCTGTTTGCCATGCTTGCTTCTTCACACCTCTTCCACATGGCTCTTTCCTTTACCTCCTGCCTGCTTCATTCAAATGCTCCATCTTGGCCCAAAGCACCTTCCCAACTTTTGCTACTGCACAGCCATCCTTGAACACTAAGTTCTTTGCAATTCAAAAAGCTGCACTGGTGAAAGCAGCACGAGCCAGAAGCAAGGCAGGCTCTTCAGAGTGGAGATGAGGCAAGTTAGCTGCCTTCAATTTGTGCTGATGTGTAATCTTCATATATATGAGTAAGGGGCATCAATTAGTAATTGCATCATTCAAGCAGTATTTTGTCCTTAAAAAAAACTCTGAACTGATTTAATAGTCTGAAACTCAAAAGGATTGTTCTTGCAGAAATGGCACAGACAGTAGGACAAGGAACATGGAATTCTTTGCTAAACTACATCCACATCCTGCAGCACTGCTGCCTTTGTGGGGTGCTCATGGCACAAAGCAGACTGTGGAGGGATGAAGAGCATCCATGTCTGGCAGACTGGGCCTGTATTTTGTAGTCACTTGCTGTTACCATATGTGCCTCTTTTAGGAGCTCTTTTAGAATCTTCTTTACAATCCATGGAATCTTCTTCAGAATCTTCAGAGTCCTCTTTTAGGAGGCTTTAGTTCAGGAATTGCTTGCCTTATCCATTTCCAAACTTGGTGGAAAAAACAAGCAAAACCTATGCTCCAGATGCAAGTTGTGTTGGACATTCATTTGGTTTTGGCTGGGCTTTTCTTGAGGAGATATGCTGGGTATTTCTCAGACTTGAGGGACCTGGCTTTCAGAGAAGCCTCAGTCCAGCTCTGCACAAAACATTCCTTTAGCAAACAGTGCTTGCTTTAGCAGGATTCAGGGATGTGATGCTGAACAGCTGTAATGAAGCAGCACTTGTGTTCATCTGATAACATGGTAGAGTATGAGACCCAGGGACTGGTTTGGGTCTCAGCCTGGGCTTGTTATCCCATCTCCCAGATTTGTAACTCTATGCTGGGTCAGGCACTGAGATTGCCACCTGTGAGGCTTCCACTCTTCCTCTTTCCTAGGCATGAGCTGCTGCTTGTGCCACCAGTCCCCTCTGTCCTTGTCCACACCAGCCATAAATCACAAGCTCCTGGAAGAATCCCTGTGCAGTTTACACCTCACTGGGAGGAGTTGCTCAAGGCACACTGTCGCAGACATTTTTTCACAGAAATCCTTTCTTTCAGATTTCTGCATTTTCTGGGAAGCAAGGGCCCCAGAAAGAGAATGTAAACAGTTATTATCAGCTGCTGTGGAATGCAACAGGGGATGCACCTTGATTGGCTCATGTTTCTATGTTTATAATTAAAGGCCAATCACAGGAGCAAACACAGGGACAGAGTCCCTGGACACAACTTTGTTTTAGTTTCTTTCTTTTCTATTCTTAGCTGTAGCTAGCATCTGCAAACCTCTCTCTTTATTCTTATTAGTATAGTAATAATGTATTATATATCATATATCAATAAATGCAGCCTTCTGATCAAGAAACAAGATTCTCGTCTCTCTCACCATGCAGTGACCCCACACAGGGTGCTGTAATAGCACACAAGTCCCCTTGCTCTCACCAGTGGGGATCCTGGTCTCCCAAACACGGCTATCTTGGCAGTGATGCTGCACTGTCCCAGCAACTGGGCCTGGAGTGTAATTGGGATCTGCACCGAGCTGTGAGCCTCGATAATCCCAGAGGGTGCAAGGCTGAAGTACCACGCAGCAGCCTCCTCCTTGTGTTCCTGGCAGGGACAGAATCAAAGGCATCTTCAGAACTGAGGAAACTTTAAACTCCTTAACCTCTACCACAAGAGCAACTCCCACACGCTCGTAAAAATTCTCAGGAGAAAGCAAGAAGGCAAAAACCATGATGTAAGGTGTAGGTGCTCAGCATCCCCAGGGGTCCAAAAGTTGCTGCATCCACAAACACTCCCTTGGCTGCTGACAGCTTCCTTGCATCAGATTTTCACAGCCCTCGAAGCTCTGCCACTTGAAAACTAGTCAAGGACTAGACTCTAAACATCTTCCTCAAGATGTTAAACTGCTTCCTAAAGTTTGTATTTAGGTTCCTGTTCTCAGAAAATCTTTAGCTTTGAATAGAAACCAGCAAGGTCTTATCCAAACCCATTTATTCCCCTAATAACCCCCCCAGTAATATTTGAGGGGAGGAGATGGATGCAAGGCCAAACCTGAGGGAGAAGACAGTAGCAGCCAGGGAAGTCACTGTCATTCACCAGGGTCACCTTCTCATCATAGAGCACCTTCAAGCAGCAGTGCCCCAGTTCCACGACAGGGTTGAGCACTCGCAGTGTAGGAACGATGCACCTGGGCAAAGAAATGACCCCAGGGGAATGAGAGACACTGGGAGCATGGAGAACTTTTGTCCTCCAAGAGCATACAAGGGAGTGTAAGGTATTTGCAAATCTAACAGAGTAGAGTAGTAGAGCAGTCCTACAGTAGTCCAGAGCTGTCTTGGCAGTGTTGCCCCTTCTCTGCCCAAGGACACTTGCAAGGGCTCCTGTAACAGTGCCAGTGGTCCCTGAGCTCTGGGGGAGCCTTTCCAGTGAGGACCAGTGCCCACCAAGGCTCAAGGAACACAAGACTCCAGTGTATCAGTGAAAATTACTCCCTTTTCTCCTCCAGCACTGTTGTCCTGCCTGAAAACTGAATCATCTCTTCCAGCGGTGGAGGGCACAAGGCCCACAGTGCAGGTGATCAACTTCTTCCAGTTCCTAGAGCTCCCTCAATTCCTTCCCCCATGGATCTCTACACTGACTGTCCCCATTTGTGCTTGCTTTACAAAAGGGCAGCCCAGGCACTGACTGGATGGCTCTGCCTGGGAGAGGGAACAGCACCAGGGAACTGCATCCCCCTTGGCACTAAACTGACACCCACAGCAGCACAGCAGGATGGAATTCTGCTGCAGCAAAAACAACTTTTGGTCTCAGCTCTGAGAACATGACTCAATAGAGCCAGAGGGAAGCAGTGAAAGCTGAGGTGACCTGCCACATCAAGGACTACAGTCCTCTTTGTAAGGCCTTTTGCTCTCCCCACTCCTGCCTGGAGCCTCTTCCCCACTGCACATGCACTGCTGAAGGGACCCAGACCCCAGCTCTCAGCAGGCTGCTCACTGTGTTCCAAACCACTGCTGCAGGGTGGTCACAAGCCAGCATAAGTTCACCACTTGCAGGAAGAAGGGCAGGCAAGCCTTTGGAAATTTGTTCCAGCTCAAGCACCAAAGCCCAGGCCAACAATTAATGTTATTCCTTCTCCCTTTAGAAAAAGGCCTAGGGCCATGGCTGGCTGTGAGCAGGGGGGTATCTCACTAAGGGCTGCTTTCCTGGCACTGTTCTCATGTCTAGATGGGCAGATCCAGCTCATGAAGCAGCACTGCTCCTTTGGAGCTGCAGCCAGGCAGTGTGCTGGTGCTGGATGCACGAGCAAAGACAAGCAGGTGCAGGAAAGGTGTTGGTACCTGGCTGTGAGGGGCAGTGCAAACACCTTCCTGCCAACATCTTCCACGTCCAGCACCAGCTCCAGATTGTAGTCCCCAACAGTGTTGGGACACAGGGTGACCTGGCAGAAAAGAAATGAAGTGCAGCCAGTATTTGCTAACTCCCAAAATTCTCATTACCCATGTGTGCTGTCCTCCAACTCCTGTTCCACGGTAGACAAAGGGAGGATTTGCTTTAATTCTTCTGCTGGTCCATAAGTAGAGCAGCAGTCTTTGAGAGTAAAAAAAGCCCTCTGGCAATATGAGATTTGCTAAAGGGACTAATTTTTCACCTGACTACAATGACATAAATGCAGAAGAAGTCTGTTGTCTTGAATGGAACAAGTCCAGCCTTACAGCAGGAAGCTGAGGGCAGAGTGTGGCCCAGCACATGCTGGGCAGTTTGTGGCTGCAGAGTATTTTCTGTCCCCACTGAAGATTCCTGCAGTGAATACAACTCATCTGCTGCCCAGGAGATGAGAAACAAGACCAGGAAGAAAAGAAAACTGCTTTCCACAATGATATCTCTCTCTTTAACAGCAACTTTCTGTTTTCATCCTTCCTCTGCCCACTTGCAATCAAATAAATTGTTCTCAAAAACACAAGAATGGCTTCAGGACTTGACCATATGGTATTGATCTCAGTGCAGGATTTTGGAAACAAAACAGTGCTCCCTGAGGAACATCCTGGGTAACCCAGCTAGCAGAGGCCTCCCAGCAGTGCAGATCTCTCACTCCCAGGATGCTCAAAGCTGGCACCAGAGCTAAAGCCCTCCCACACTGCAGTGAAGCCTCAGCCCCAGCAGCTGGACTCTTCCCATACCTTGATATCCTGGGATCCCAGGGCACGGACGGTCCCGCTGTCGGGATTTATGGTAAATTCCTGTGACCTCCTCAGAACTCGAACTTCCTTCCTCCACAACTGGCTGCTGGGTTTGCCTATCTGAGTAGTGGTGCTAACACTGGGCACTCCCAAGCCATCCCCAGGAATGTAGAGGGAGAAGCCCATGGGTGTCAGGGAGGTGTTAAACAGGCAACACTTCAAGGTGTGAGGAAAACCTAAGAAAATGACACAAATCCCCATTTAGGCATCAATACCTCGTGATTCCTGGTGTGAATATCCTGCTGGTAGGATAAAACTGTGCTTGGATTTTACTTCTTTGTTATCTGAACTACAGCTCATTGCAGTGGATCTAGGGCTTGGCTGGCCAGCTATGTGTGGAGCAGACATCTCCCAGCCTGCTTACCAAGAGTCATTTAAACCCAGATGGGGAGGAAAAACCAACTGCAGGCATAGCCCAGGGCTTCTCCATGCCCATCAACAGTGACTGCAGCAGGGAGGCAGGAGAGGCACAAAAAGGATGTCACGCTCTCAAATGCCACTGAGGTAACACATGCAGACAACATTCAGCAGCACAGTTAAAAGAAACAAAGATAAAAGAGCTGCCCCCAGCTGAAGAAACCTTAGGAATGAAATCAAATTAAGCAGGATGAATCTATTACAGAACCATATTCCTGCCTGGTGCCTTTCTTTATTGTGCCACTTACTAAAAGGGAAACAAGAAGTGGCCAAACAGTGATGCTGACTTCTTATTCCTTTGGTCCTGTTGGATCTCATGATGGCAAAAGGGTACCTGAGGCACCAGCAGCCCTGGAATGAACACCCTGAAGAGGCTGTGGTGGAGGAACACGAGTGATGAATGCTCTTATGTTCAAGGGCTCCATTTCAGCACCACAGCAAGCTCTGACACTGTGGTGCCAGCCCAGGGCACACTCACCAAAGGCGATGTCACCGAAGTGCAGGGCGGGCACATCAAAATGGAAAGTGGGTCCCATCACAGAGCCCCTGCAGGGACAAAGGCAGGGAGGCAGTGCCTCTGTTAAAGGGAATCCAAAGGGTTTGGGTGTCCTTAGGGAGAGGGTGGACAAAGGCAGGGAGGCAGTGCTTCTGTTAAAGGGAATCACAAAGGGTTCCGGTGTCCTTAGGGAGAGGGTGGATAAATGCTGCTGTCAGAGCCACCCTGGGTTTCAAATCACCCCAGCACCCTGTGCTCAGCACAGCACCCACGGGGGCAGGAGGCAGCCAAAGCAAAGTGCTCAGCAGCTGACAGATGCCCCAGTCCTTGGCACAGTTCCTGCTGCACAGTTCCTGACTCCCACATCAGCCCTTTGCTGGCTGTGCAAAGGAGGCACCAGAGCCCTCTGTGCACAGGAGCTGGGAGCACAGCTTGTCCCCACAGCATGGCTGGGAGAGGGGAGCTGAGGCTGCTGCTGCCCATCTGGCAGGGATTATGAACAGGAGTTTTTACAAACACTGCTGCTGCTGCAGAATCACCCAGGCTGGTCCATCTCAAAGCCCTGCGGGCCTTGCTTGGTGTTCAGGTGGGACATCCCAGAGCAGCTGCTGCCCAAAGCTGATCCATCCCACTGCCTGCAACAGCCTAAGCAGAAGACATCCCTGCAGGGAGGAGTCATTGCAGCTCCTGGGCACCACACAGGGCAGCAGGCAGCCTCACGCTAAAGGGATGCCAGAGCCAGAGCCACCTCAGGCAACACCTTTTTTCTCTGCTCCACCACAAAATGAGGCAGATGGAAGATGCTTACCCAGAGACAGCTACAGATGTGCCCAACAAGCTCCCAAAGCCCTCCTCACCTGACAGTGAAGATCACAGGCTTAGGGGATTCAGCCACATGGAAGCAGAATTGTTCCTCAAACTCCCCCCGGATGGTGGGACAGAAGGAGACCCGGATGGCCTGGAGCTTCTCTGGTGCCACGATGCCCTCCTGGGGCAGGAAGGTGAAGCAGGAGCCCATGGCTGTGGTTGGAGGGATGAGTTTGAAGGGAGCCTCAATAGGCCCCTTGTTGATCAGGTATGCCTGCAGCAGCAGAAAAGCAAAGTGGAAATACATGAGGAATGTTCCTTTCCTACAGAAGTCTGAGTCACTTTCAGATTAAACTATTAACACCAGTAAAAGACAGAAGATGCCTTGTGCTGCTGCATGGCAGAAGCAAAAAATACAACATTGAAATACAGCTTTGTATAGCTTTGGGTGTTTCATTCAAAGCAGTGATAACTTCACATAACCAGAGCCCCTCTGGGGTTTTCCCACTGGCAGAGACAGTCCAGTTTGACCTGCAGCACAGAGGGGCTGCTCAGCATCACCCAGTTCATTCACACCTGGCCCTAAGAGCAGCACTGGGCATCACAGCATTACAGTGACATCACCACAGAGATTTCAAACGTGTCCAACCCCACCATGGGCAGGGCACGTTCAGCTTCCATTGCAGCCCAACCTGTTTACAGCAGGAGTGGGAGAAACCAGAAGCAAAGATGTAGGAAGTTCCTTGACTTCCTGCCCAGAAACACTTTGCTCTTTCTAGAGCCAGAGGTACATCATGGCTGAAGTGTGGTGAGGGGCTGGTCAGCAAGGGAAAGCACTGCCAAGGGCTTTGACCAGCGCTGAGCCAGGAGGGTGGATGGTTTTCCTCTGACTCCCATGAATATGCAGGAGGGACATGGCTGAAAACTGTTTGCAATGGACTTGAACTCAAATGCAGCCAGTTTGTTCCAGCTGCTTTTGGACAGCCTGAGCACAAAGGTGATTTGTGTCTGGGACTGGAACAAAAGCCTCTGAACATGCAGCTTTTTGACCCAGTGTTGGTTTCATGTGCCAAGTGGTTTTGCAGGAAGCCTCCCAGCTGATCTCCAAAGAAGGCTGCCCAAAAGCAGGGCCTGGGGTCTCACGAACAACAGACACACCTTTCTGACCCCATCCAAAAGAACCAGATTCCAAGAAATCCCCCCAAAATTGACTAGCATCAACTACCCAAGTTGCCAGGAATTCCACAGGTCCACAAGGCTCACTGCTACCCTAGGAGCCAGCAGGACCCACCCCAACCCTGCTGCTTACCTCATATCTGTGGGTTACTCTGACAAAAACCTCCCCAATGTTCAGTTCCTCAAAGTGGAAATGGACCCGGGGCCCGAGGCCTTCCCCCATGAGGAGCAGGGGCAGCCTGTTCTCACGGCCTGGGGAGAGATTTCTATTTCAGTACAGGAATTCCTTCTGCTCTCCTGCATTTTCCAGGCTGCCTTAGTGCCAGTCCCTGACTCTGTGCTGCATGGGACCAGCTCCTGATGTCCCAGGAGCAGATATGGACCCTTCTCTTCCCTCAGGAGATGCAGTACATCCATAGACACCATCCCCTATGTTGAGTGTGGAACTTTAGGAAATGCCAGAAATTTTGTTCTTCCTCCTTCTGGGTGCACCTCAGAGTGTTTTTCCCAAGGGAGGAGGAGCAGACTAAATACAGGCAGCATTCAGAACAGCTGAGAGGGGAAAAAATCAAAATAGAGGAGATGCCCTGGAAGCTGCAGGGACAGTGGGCATGTGCCAGCAGTGCCCTGCTGAGCACAGACCCTCCCCAGCCATGGCACAGGAGCCCAGTGATCTGGGGGAGTGTTTGCAGCTGCCTTCACTGCAGAGAGGGGCAGGGGAAGGAGCCATACCTGAGATGTCACAGTAAACTGTTCGCTCATAGACCTGGGCTGCCTGGGGCGTGAAGAACACGCTGATCTCAGCTGAGCACTTCGGCATGATCTCACCCTCCTAAAGCAGAAGGACACAGCAAAACCTTTATCTTCAGACACCACAATTCTTGTTTTCAACCACAGTCCTGTAAGCTGTTATTTAGAGCATCAGTGACAAGCAAGGAGTGAGTAACACTCATCAATAAAACTGAGAACAGAGTTTGGAAGCTTTAGTCAGGCTCCTGCTGCCTGCCAGGAGCCCACAGGGCAGAAATGCTTTTTGCAACCAGCTCTCTGACCTCACCAGAATCCCAATGACTTCTCTCTTGGCACACAAAGCCAGCTGAGGCAGGGATCAGTCAAGTGACCTTACTCAGGGATGAGGAGCAAGAGGAAGGAGAGAAGCAGGAAGGGAGGTTCTCAGCCATCATTTACCTTTGGCTCAAGGGAGAAAATGTCATCATCTAACAGCATGGGATCTCCTCTGATCTTTGCTACCTCACTCTGGAAGGTGTGGTTGAGAAGAGCAAGGCGTTCTCGGCAAGTGATGTCCACTTCACGCTCCTTCAGAAAACTATACAACTTGTGCCTTTGCTGCTGGTATATCCTGTGATACTGCCTGCAGGCATAGGAAAGACAAACCCAGCAGGTTGTTTAATAAGCCACGTCTTTGCAGAGAGAAGTGGAAGTGCAGGAGCAGCTCCACAGCAAAGGGCTGACCCTGAGCCATGGGGTCCCAAATGGATCAGAGGGTCACTTGTTCCCTCCACACTTGCAAGCTCAGGAGAGCTTTCCAAAGCCAGCAGCCCTCAACAGAGCCTTCTGGCTCAAAGCCTCTGCCACAGCTGAGGGAGAATCCACCAGCCACCTCAGGCAGCTTTTCCTGATACACAACTGCTTGGGGGAGGCAGGAGAGATGGGCTGGTTTACTTACCCAAAGCCATTTAAAAGCACCAGTACCTCCTGAAGCCATATGTTAGTTTTACCCTTGGGCAAGGAATGTCTCTGAAATGGATCTTTCAAACCCACCTCAGCCTCAGCTGCTCCTCCTGTTCCTCAGTATCCACAGCCTTCCACTGGAAGCGGGCTGTGATGTCGCTGCGGTTGTGGATGACCACAGTTGCGCTGTTTGACATGGTGATGTACGTCTTCTCCAGGGTCACAGTATTCCTGTCCAGCCCGATGTGGGCATCCACAGCTCTGGCATGAAGGCTTGTGTGGGTGTCTTCACCTGGAACAAAGCAGAGGGGAGTCTTTTCTCACCTCACTGGCTGATGGCAGCACAAGGAACAGAGCACACCACAGGCAGCAGAAGAAAGTGTCACAGCTTTTAGCTGAACGAGCAGTTCCATGGATCAGTCCATGGATCACAAGCTGAGAGCTGCATGTGCACAGCATGACGCTGTCCTGACAACCTGCCAGCATTTCACCCTCTAGAACAGACCCCTACCAAGGCTCCCTCATTTCCAGAGCTTTCAAAGCTTCATTATTCCCAGCCAGCTCCTGGGATGCATCTGGGCTCAGACTTCAAGCTCACCATTCCTGTTGCAGGTGAGCGTTACCCAGGCGAGACGCAAACAACAAATACCAGACATGCTCTCTAGAAATGGCATTTACATGGAGCTCTACAAGGATCAAGATGACAAACTACATGACTACAAACCAGATGACTAGAAAATGAACCCTATGAAAAGTATCATCATCTCCCTCTTGAAACCCACGGCCACACCAGCCTTTCTGCTTAGAACAGGCTCTGCTCTGAGGGATGCACAGAGTGCCCTGTGCACTGCCCAGCACTCACCTGTGTCATAGTGCACAACAAGGGACCTGGAATGGTCACCAGTCTTCAGTGGCTGAAATTCCACTGCCACCTCCACGGCATCACCAACATCCAGAGTTCCCATGGCCGGAGTGACAGAGAAAGGGCTGCAACACAGAGACAGTAGGACTCTTGGTGGAGATTTGGGGATGTTAACCCTCTTGCAGTCCAGTTCTGCTCACTTGTGCAAGCAAAGAGCAAACCAACCACAGTCAGCAGAAGACAGAACAGACAGGGTCAGAAACAGCCACTGACTCTAGTGTGAGGAGATCCAGCCCTCACAAGATCCTGTGGGATGAAATGACCTCATCTCCCCCATACTCTGTATCCAGCTCTCTGCAATGAGGCTCAAGGGTCATTTGCATCTTGCTTACTCTCATCAGATATCAGCTCCCCTTACTGACAGAGCTGGGCAAAAGTTATGGCCATGGATACCAAGGACCAAGTACTCCTAACATAATTTAGAAACAGAGCTGACCAGTGAGCAAAGCTGGCAATTTTGTGACCAAGTCTCTCAAAGCACCATTCACCTGCACTTTTGGTAAATGCTGTGTGCAAGGAGGCTGCAATCTGTTTCAAGTCCCATGGTACAGTTATCTGCTACAGCCAAACGTTCTTTTGTCCACTGGTGTCTTAAATGCCATTATTAAATGATTTGATTTTGGGAGAATTGATCTCATTAAAAGTTGCCTCCCACACCAAGGGAGACAAAAAAAATAGGGCTAATTGAATTGCCTCATGTGTCCACTAACACTTATTGCAGGAAGAAACTCAAATATCATCTAATCTTAACATCTATTACTTTTAAGTGATGGTCAGTTAATTCTGACATCAAGCAGTGTCGGATTTCTGGCTGTTTAGATGGTCTGGGAAGGCCCGAGGTGGCCTTGGGCAGCCCGCACTCCAAAGGACAAGAAGGGACTTCAGATCTTTTCTCGGTCTCGGTGTTTATTAATTGCTTATCTGAAAGATTTTCTCTTGGCCTGACAGAGTTCTGCTCAGCAGTCAGCCATGGGCACACACACTGCGAGTCCCTGGGGCGGCCACTTATCTTTATACTCGGAGTTACGTATACGATATTTATCATTTTTCTCCAATACCCTCTACCCTTATTAACCAGTGCACTTTTGGTAAGGACCAATCCCAAAGTGCCAACATCACCACAGAAGATGGAGGCCAGGAAGAAGAAGAAGAAGAAGAAGAAGGAGAAGAGCACGCCCCAATTCCTCCATCTTACTTCTTTAGACCCCCTTGTACAGAAATCTTAAACCCTGTATCTCACACTCCAATTAACTTATCCCTTCACCATTCACCCCGGTGAAATCCTCCTATCCTCATACTGATGTCGTCTCCCATGTGGGATCAAAGTCCAGCCACCAGACATTTCTGGCAACATTCCAGGACTCCCGAGCCCCCCAGGGGTGGTCTTGGTCACCCTGCACCTCAGCCCTGAGAGGCTGAGATCCCACAAAGCAGCATTAACTATTCTAATAAATTCAGTCTGTTAGGTTACAGCAGCTCCAGCTCTGTGCTGAAAAATTCTGTCCAGAGTCAGCAGCTCACAAGCTCCATCTTTCCCTCTACTACACTACATCTAGACTCTATTTCATCTACTTCAAGATTTAATTCTTGAAGTTCAGAAACTCTTTAAATCCCTATCAAGCAGGATCCAACATGCTCTGTAGCACTCAACAGAACTGCTGGCAAGCACATTGTAAAGGGATACCAGACGTTATTGAGGATTTATTTTGGTGGTGACAAAACAAGATCTGGAAATCCCAGAGAAAAACCGTGCATAGATTTACAAGTTCCTGCCTACATGTTTGCCCAGTCCAAAGCAGCAGCCTGTTTGAGCAGCATCTGAGGAGCCTGGATTGGAGCTGCCAATAGCTCTGACAGGCTTTGGTGGAAGCTCCTCTCGGACCCTCACGTTTCACAGCAGAAAAGTCAACTTGCCTTTTGACCTCTGTTTTGCCAGAGAAAAAAGCATCAAGGCCACTCAGCTGCCTGAGGTTAGACAGCAGGTCTGTGCTGCATTCCTGACCTCAGCTCCTACACCAAGACCTCCGGGATCACATAACCCTCAACACACCACCAGCCAACTGAACTGGTTTCCTTGCAGGTACGGTGTCAAAAATGCATTACCCTCTCCAGTTCAGCCAACAGGAGAAACAGTGATTGTCTTCTGAGACTGGCAGGAACAGCACAGGCTGCCCACAGCACAGCTCATGTTGGGCATCTGATGCAGGGACCACTGGAAAGCCACGTGCCTGTGGCCTCCCAGAGAATGGGTCTATTTGGCTGACAGTGCTGAGTAAGCATTTCAGAAGCTGCTTGTGCTCAGGAGGGTGCAAGCCAGCTACCAACATGTTCCAGCACCCTCCAGGAAATCTGAGACAGAGAAAGCTCAAAGGCTGCATCCTGCTTAAACCATGAAAAGCAATGGCAAACCCCACACGTCCTGCTCACTTCCAGCCAGGGCTGCAGGGCAGCAGCTCTGATGCTCTGGTTCCTTTTGCTGCTCTTTCCCAACTCTACCATCACCCTAAGGTGACAGATATCCTTTGCACAAGGACAGATGAGCTGCCTCACCTCTGGGTGCTGAGCTCGTAACGAGCAGGCCGGTTTCCAACATTGTGAACCAGCAGAGTCTTCTGGGTGCTGTGCTTGACCGGACAGGTGGAGAAGTCCAGCTGGTCAGGGAAGTCCAGGATGGCTCGGCCACCGATGGCCCAAATTGGCACAATGAACTCTTCTCTTTCAGTGGTGCAGAGGAGCTGGTGGAAATAATCCTGTGGCAAAAGAAACTGTCTCAGCACAGAGCCTTTATCTCCATCTTTAGCATGGGCAAAGAGTATCTCTCAGTTCTAGATCCTCTGAAACCAGAACAGGTCCTCAAAAGTCAGGCCAGATGCCCTGAATCCAGCCTTTCAGGTCCAGTTTCCACTGAAAACAGCAACCTCTTGGGCCCTCCAGACTGACCTTTCTCTGCCCAGGGGTGAAGAGGATGCGGACAGTGGTGTAGAGGCCCGGTGGCACCTTGCGGCACACGTCATTGGGGCCCACCAGCTGGAAATAAGGTGAGCTCTTCAAGGTGACCTTCACCAAGTGAGGAACCTGCAGGAGAGACATGGAATGATGGTTTTGCCACTTGTGATGGCACAGGTCGACATGCCCTGGTGCCATCCTTAGCCACCCTTCTCTGCTCTCCTCTTCCAGCACAGTGTTAAACCTCCAGTCCCAGCACTCACCTTGTCCCTGTTCCTCAGAACCAGCGGCACTTCACAGACCTCACCGGGGCTGTAGTTCTGAAACACCACCTCTGGTGGGCAAGGCTGAAACGAGCGCTGCTCTGGGACAGCTGCTGAGAACTGCAGGGAGAGGCCAGAGAGAGCAGAGACAGGTTCAGCTGCTGGGAGGAAGGTTCTGCTCTGATCCCCAGTGAAGTGCAGACTCTGGGTGAGCACATCTGCCCAGCCCACACTGGGCAAACAGTGGCTCCTCCACCTCTGCCCTGGGCTGACCAAAAGCTCCTGGACCAGGCTGAGCAGGCTCAAGCCAAGCTGCTCTTCTGGCATCCTCCTCAATTATCACATCAAACAGCAAGGGCAGGGAAAGGCTACCTTGTGATGGGAGGTCCCAGGCTTGTCTTGAGGCTGGACAACCTGAGGCAGACTCAGCTTCTTAGCTCTGGCCAGCCTCTGCTTGGTGCTGAGAGACATCTCCTTCTGGAAGGCAGAGGGAGTCAGCTGGAAGGCAAAAAAACAGCAAGAGTCTCAGAAATGCCCTTGCTCATGGAGGCTTTTCTTGTTCACTTACTACTGATGAATGATTTGTGATCACAGCCACTAGCACAGTTCTGGAAGCCCTGGAAGTTTCCTGCTGAAATACTTAGCACCAATGAGTTAATAATACAGAGTGGAACACACATACTCCAGCCACATGGCTGTGTCCAATGAGTCTCTCTGTGATTTGATGGGACATGGTTGGGGATTTCTGCCCTTTGGGCATTTGTTTCCTCTTACTTTTCCCTGGATTGAGGCAGTGACCTTTCAGAGAGTGGGGAGGAGCTCTCAGAACTGCCCAAACTCCATCTCTGCACAACACTCAAAACTCACAGCCAGGAGATAGCACTGCTGGCTGAGTCCAAGCGAAGCAAACAAGAAAAGCTGTACCAAGAGTGAGGTGCACAGGCATGTGTCCAAGTTTTAGCTCTCTCTGTCAATTAGCATTGGTTTTCTCTGTCTGGGCTGACAGAGCCCTGGACAGAAGAAAACAGAGGGATCTCCTTGGCAGGGCCTCAGCAGTGGGGCATCTTCAGCCAAGTGAGCTGCAGACAGCAAGGGACCTTTGTGGCCCTGGCTCCATCCAGCGCTGCCTGCAGGGCTGCATCTGTGCCCACCCAGGAGCTGGGAGAGAACAGCTGCCTTGGGAGCTCTTCCAGCTGGGACCAGCCGTGGCTCTCAAGGCTTTGGGCAGAGTTTGAGCTTTCCCCCTCACGTGCCCGGGTGCCCAAGGGCAGGATGGTCAGAGCAGCACAGGTGAGTGCCCAGCCTGACAGAAGGAATGGCTGTGGCAAAGGGGAAGGAAAGAAGCCCATGCTCAGGGCTTCAGCTGTACATTGGTTTCACTTGGCTCTGCTGGCACAGCCAGGCAAGGCGCTGGGCTGTCCCTGACACATCCCACAGTGTTCCCTACTGCACCAGGACAGCCCCAGCAACAGGAGCACGGCACAAAGGGCTGGGGAGGGGCTCTGCAGCTTCAGAGCATTGCTGGACAACAGGGGCAGGGAGAGCAGGGACAGCAGGGCAGTTTCCAGCCTTAACACAGCCCCAGGGGCTACTCACAGTATCAGCCTTCAGTCTTTCCCTGAGCAAAAGTCGAGGTGTTGGTGTTCTTCCTGGGAATCCAGATGCCATTGTGAAGAGAGGATCTCACAGAGGAGTGACAGCGCCTCAACAGAACTGGAAGGAACAACAATGGAACTCTGAAAATCCAGAACCCAATTCATGGCAGACTCAAGGGATATACTGGTGCTAAAGATTTTATATGATTTGAAAGTAGCTAAGTGCTCATTAGGCATAAGCAGCTAGTGTTGTTAAGCCTCTAGTTGGACTTTATTTGAACTATATGGGTACCTTATTCCATTCAAAGATGGATCGTACTGAAACCTGGAGCTAAAATGCTGAATATTAATAATAGTTTGAACAGACCAAGCTGTAGCTCAAATATTACTTAAAAACAGCATGAGTGGACCTCCTCTTTTTTGGCTAAACACCTCCTGCTCTCTCAGCTGCTCCTCACAGGACTTGTGAGAGACTGGAATGTTATGCTTAATGGCTTAAGTATTGCTATAAAGGACTTTTTGCCCATTGTGACAAAACTATATAAAGAAGCTGAGACCCTCAAGCCCACCATTCCCTGAAAATGCCTCCTGACTGGAACTTGGCACTGTGAGTTAAGCTGCCTAAGGGAACCTGAGACAAGATAAAGGTGACACTATTGTCCTGTTAGCTCAGGAGCGGGGAGAAGTGAACAAGGCTGAGGGAGAAAAATATATCCCCACTAAAGTCAAATCCAGCAGCTGTCCTGAAAATCAGCTCTGTCTGCCTTCAGGCTGGGGAAGTCATAGCCACAGACTCGTCTGCTGAGGCCAGGTTTGCACACAAACCTCCCATCAACAGAGGGGGAAGGAGGAAATTTTGGGGGTGAGGCACAACCTCTGGTAAGGGGCAGTGGACACCCATCCTCCCTCAGACAAACTGGCTCAGCTCTAAAACCCCCCAGCCCCAGAAGGCCACATCCAGGGGACATTCCCATGAGGGGCAGCTGAGGGGGTGTCATAACCCAGCAGAGACCTCCAGAGTGCCCCCAGAGCCATTCCTGAGGCCTTGCACCAGATGACTGCATGGCATGCAGAGAAACACAACAGATCTGAAAATCCACAACCCAATTCATGGCAGACTCAAAGGACATACTGGTGCTAAAGATTTTATATTATTTGAGAGTAGTAAGAGACAGAGCCAAACTTGCCCCATCCCAGGGAGGTACCTGGGCAGTCCCACCTTGCCAAATCTGCATTAATCCATTGGAGTCTCACATTTTGTGAGACCTCACCACAAAGACCAGAAGAGGACTGAATGGGATGGGACGGGATCCATGGAATGGTGATATTTTCTACTAAATCTGTCTCTGTCACTCTATTCCCTCCTTCCCAGCCCCCTCCCTCCCCCTCTCCTTTTTCTATTTCTTTCTCCCTCTCTCTTCCTCATTTACTGTTCCATAAAATCCAAACTATTAACTTTGACACATGGTCTCGGTTTGCACCTTAATCCAGGGGCATCTCCTTAATAATTTTAATAACCAGATCATAACAACCCACTGAAACTTGAACAGAACTCATTCACCTATAAGTAGTTTAAATAAATACTAAAGGAAAAAATGTATAGACAAGTATATTTAGGAAATGTTGCATTTCCTCAGTGAGAAAAAAGCACCATCAGCAGACCATGTATTGTTCATCCCCTCAGCTGTACATGCCACCGCACTGAAGACTGGCATTATCCCATCCTGTATTTCCCTTTGGCATTCTCTTTCAGAGCACAGATGTGACAAAACCAGAAAGTACAACTTGAGTCAATCTTTACCTTCAAACGAAATTCAGGACTCTCTGGCAGAAACCAAGGTTCTGCAAGTTTAGGAGTCCCTCGCAGAGCAATGTTTTGCGAGTTCTCGCTCACAGACAGCACTGTTCTGCGAACAACTCCGCTGGCAGTGGCCGAGTGCCGCAGGCTGAGCGCACCGGGTGCGAATGAGCATCAGGGCGGCTGCGGGCGCTGAGGCCGCGGCGCCGTCACAGACGCTGAGGGCCCGGGCGCGGTTACCGGGCAACCGCGGCACCGAGCCTGGGGCCGGGCCGGGCCGCGCTGCTGTGCGCAGGACATTGGCACTTTGGCTGCTGACTTGACTTTAGTGCCTTCTGCAGAGTCTTTCTGTATTTATGAAAGTTTAAAATGTGGTGATAAAGGCACCTTTGGCAGGTCTATACCCTGCTCTTTGTATAGCACTAGGATGCTACCCTGGCTGGAGCCCCAGCAGGGGCTGAGGGAGCTGGGAAGGGGCTGAGCCTGGAGCAAAGGAGGCTCAGGGGGCCCTTGTGGCTCTGCACAACTCCCTGCCAGGAGGGGACAGCCGGGGGGCCGGGCTGTGCTCCCAGGAACAGGGACAGGAGCAGAGGGAACGGCCTCAGGCTGGGCTCAGGGTGGGCACCAGCAGGAATTTGCCCATGGAAAGGCTGCTCAGGCCTTGGCAGGGGCTGCCCAGGGAGCTTTGGAGTGCCCATCCCTGCAGGTGTCCCAGGAAGGGCTGGAGGTGGCACTCAGGGCTCTGGGCTGGGGACAAGGTGGGCATCGGGCACAGCTGGGACTCCATGGCCTGGCAGGGATTTTCCAACCCCAGTGATCCTGGGATTCTGTGCCATACAACTTGGACAAAAAGGTTTCCCACCTCTGACTGGTTTCATAATGAGAAAGGAAATTTTTCAGAGTACCTTGACCTTCATAGTCATGAAAAATGATCCTTGTGCTAAAATTTTGCTCTGCCTTTAGCAAACAGAAGAAAGCTTATGATGGATCTGCTTTCCCTAAAAATAGGGTAGGAAAAAATTAACATCTGAAAACAGTTAAATATGCACATTTGTCCTTCATTGAGGAGCAAATAACAGACTGCTTAGCTTTAAACATATGGCCTTGAGTTCTTCTGACTTTGTGGGAATGAAAGCCTTAATCAGATTCACGTGGATTGAAGTATCTGAGTATAGAAATGAATGCAAGATCAATGTCAGCAATGAAGTCACACTTCCTGGAGTGTCTCTTATGCATTTGTTGACCAAAGAAGAGATTAATTGTTTCACTTGTAGAAATGTCACTGGTGCCTGAATTTCTGAAAGATAAATATTTAAGGAAGAAAAAAAAATGACGGGCAATAAAAATTGGATACTTGTAAAGTCATTGGTAAAAGCCTCATCAATATTCAGGTGAAAACAGAATACTTTCCTCAAAAGCAAAAAGAAACAAAACAAAACCCCTCGTACATCACTCACAGTTTGACAAGAAAAAGCTGTTCTTACTACAGAAATTTCCCCAATCTGAAATGAAATTGTTTCAAAAAAAGAAAATTAGACAATGGAGCAAGAAATCCCTATAGATTGGTCATATCAGAAAAATGCTGATAGGCAATACATAATGTTTGACCCTGATAACCTCTGATCAAAATTTAAATCGTTCTCTGTAGAAATTATATTGTCATTATTTTCTCAAAAGACTCATGATTATTTAAATGGCATAGGATTCATCACTAAGTGATATTCCCAGAATGAAAATGCTATTATCAGAATAATAATAATAATCTTCCTAGAAATATCAGTACAATAGAGAGTTTGTACCAAATCAAAATAATTTAAAAATTAATACAACTGGTGCTGAATTTTTTTACGTGCACAGCATGGAAGAACACTGAGCTATGTAAATGGCTACATCTAAGAATTTTTATAAGAAAAGTATCTGATTGGTACTCTTCACTTTAGTATTATCAATACCATCTTGATAACTCTTTTTTTGACTCTGCTGGTTTTAGCTACAATGCAAAGAACAGAAATTTGGCAAATCCATTTTCAAGGGCCTGGAGTGCCAGGACAAGGGGGAATGCCTTCAAACTGACAGGAGGCAGGTTCAGATCAGATATTGGGAATGAGGAATTGTTCCCTGGCAGGGTGGGCAGGCCCTGGCACAGGGTGCCCAGAGCAGCTGGGGCTGCCCCTGGATCCCTGGCAGTGCCCAAAGCCAGGCTGGACACTGGGGCTGGAGCAGCCTGGAACAGAGGAAGCACTGGATGAGCTTTAAGGTCCCTTCTCTCCTTCTCCCTCTCCCCCTCCCCTCAAAGTATTTTAATTCTTGTCATTCTACAAAGCACAAGACCAGCACAATTACAACTATTTAATGTACAGCAGACCTGGAATAAAGTATGCTTCAGGAATTTCTTGTGATTCACCTAGTTGGGATTTAGAGTGCTTAATCCCATTTCTACTACCTTGATACTCCTACCAGCTATGTTCCCCATTTTATTTGCTTCCCAGGAATGCAAAGCATTCTTAGTAGCTGTTTATAGAAACTCTTGCTGCTCCACTGTCTCACAACAAGTATTTTTGACAAAACCCTGTTGTGTATAAGAAAAGCATTTACCTCCAGATGATCAAACCCGTGGGAAGACATGAGGTAATCTCTCCAGTGTATTTGCCTTCCTCTGTTCAGTCTTTCTGTGAGGTGTTATTTTTCATAATATTCTTAGGTTCAGGCTATGGGAATTTGTACTTTGGTTCATTTCTGAAAACAGAAGCTGCATGAGGGCTTGGGGGAGCCTGAGCCATGCTAAGGTGAATAACCATTTGACCTCTGATTTATGCTGTGAGTAACAGGAACATTTTCCCAGGTAATCCATTAGTCTTATTTTCATATTATGCTTCCACAAATCTCTGCAATAGCTTTTCTAAAGATGAACATTATGCAGCCTCTGTTGAGAAAATAATAAGAGGTTTGCACACCACGGCCAGTGGAAACACCATCAACCCACATATCAGCTCAGTAATGTTTTTACTGAAATTGTCTGCAGCTGGGTGATTGGAGTGCAATTTCTTTTCACAAGCCATCATTTTAGGCACTTTCAGATGGCATTTTATGCACATTAGTGACATTGTCCTGCGTTAATTGCAGGTATTATATTTATTTCTTTTATTTCTGTGCTGCTGTTCACAGGTTGGAGGGGACAGCACAGGATCACACCCTGGATAAGGCTGGGAGGGACCTCTGGAGATTCTCTAATCCACTCTCCTGCCCAGACCAGGGTCAGGCAGAGCAGGTTGCTC